AGCACATGGAATAGGAGGAGAAATTTTTTCCTGGATAGAGGCATGGTTGACAATAGGCAGCAGAGAGTTTGCATAAATGGGAGAAATCAGAGTGGGGAAGCGTCACGAGCGGTGTTCCACAGGGGTCAGTGTTGGGCCCCCTGCTGTTCACAATCTACATAAACGACATAGATAGGCATAAAGAGGCGACATCGGCAAGTTTGCCGATAACACCAAAATAGGCCGTCGAATTCATTCTGACGAGGACATTCGAGCACTCAGGAAGATTTGAAATAGACTGATGCAGTGGTCGGAGAAGTGCAGATGCAGTTTAAATATAGACAAATCAAAGTTCTAAATGTTGGACAGGACAATAACCATGCCACAATATAAACTAAATAATGTAGATCTTAATATACGGATTGCGAAAAAGATTTAGGAATTCTGGTTAGCATAATTCTGAAACCAAGAACAACAGTGCATAAGTGTTCGCAATAAAGCTAATAGAATCCTTGACTTCATATCAAGAAGCATAAATAATAGAGTCCTCAGGTTGTTCTTCAACTCTATACATCCTTGGTTAGGCCTCATTTAGATTATGCTGCACAGTTTTGGTCACCGTATTACAGAATGGATATAAATTCTCTGGAAAATGTACAAAGGAGGATGACAAAGATGATCCCATGTATCAGAAACCTTCCTATGAGGATAGACTAAGGGCCCTGAAACTGCACTCTCTAGAAAGACGTAGAATTAGGGGGGATATGATTGAGGTTTATAAGTGGAAGACAGGAATAAATAAAGGGATGTAAATAGTGTGCTGAAAATATCTAGCCTAGACAGGACTCGCAGCAATGGTTTATAAGTTGGAAAAATTCAGATTCAGGAGGATATAGGAAGTACTGGTTTGGTATAGAGTTGTGATGAGTGGAACAAACTCCAAGTACCGTTATAGAGGCCAGAACGTTGTGTAGCTTTAAAAATAGTTGATAAATACATGAGTAGATGGGGTGGGTGTGAGTTGGACCTGATAGCTTTGCTAACAGTCGGTTGCCGTGTTTCCTCCCTTAAGTCAATGTGACCTGACCTGACTAGGTTGGGTGCATTGGCTTAAGCCGGTAGGGACTTGGACCTGCCTCGCATGGGCCAGTAGGCCTTCTGCAGTGTTCCTTCGTTCTTATGTTCTTCTTATGAATATTGGCGCACTTCCCTGTGAGTCGTATCCCTTATTTTCCCCATCCACACATACCCACAAATTTCCTGTCCCAATTCTTCAGCAGGGGACATTAACATGGGTTCCTAATTACAAATTCAGGCCAAAATCCCCAAATTTGGCTGGGAAGACACCGAACTGTTATTAGAATTTCCACGACAACCAATGCCCACAATTTACGAATGGCGTCCTCTTTTTTTTTTGTATTTGTTGCCGAATTGTAAAGGTTTTCCACACCATTTACTCCAATTCTTCAGTAGGATTGAGGCCGATATACACCAATTAACCTTCGAGAACACCTGATTACTTTGCACAATTCAGACCAGTGTTCACACATTAAATTCAATATGGCGTCCTCTCTGCAGTGTCACTCCCCCGGCTGTTCTGCCCCTCCCCCGGCTGTTCTGCCCCTCCCCCCTCACTCAAAATTTCTCGAAGGGTCCAAATAGCATCACATTTTAATACACAGTTATTATATTATGCATTTATATGTTCTGCATTTAGAAAATTATGTAAATAATTTCCACAAATATATTAAACTGGAAGAATTTCAGATTATTATTATTATTATTATTACCAAAACCAAGCGCTAAACCCACAACATAAGAACATAAGAAAGAAGGAACACTGCAACAGGCTTACTGACCCATGCGGAGCAGGTCCATATCCCCCCCCCCGGATAAGACCAATGACCCACCCAGTCTGGTCATCTCCACTCAAGGATGGAGCACTGTACCAGACCCAGCAGCACAAGCTAGTCAGGTCCAACTCACACCCACACCCACACCCACAAGGGACATACAACGCTGTCGTGATCCAATAAAGTGTCCCAGTAACACGGCGGTTATAAAATTATAATGCACCGAACATATAAAATACGGTAAAAATTATGGTGTGCTTATGTATGAACACTTTTGCATGTGGACGTGTGTACATGTGGACGTGTGTACATGTCTGTATATAAGCATGTATTCTGCGAATTTATGTATGAATGTACACTTGTATATTTACGCATGTGTCCATATATTACCTGCATTATGTGCATATATGCATACGTATACATGTGCACAGGTATATATTTACTTGCAAATGTAGGGTTGTTCATGTATGCTTGTGATTATGTATGCATGTGTATGTATACATACGTGAATGTATGGTTAAGTACATGTATGATTATGAATACATCTACATATGTGTATATACATGCACGTATGTATACTATGTGTGTACATGCACACATGTATACTGTGTACATGCACACATACTGTGTACATGCACACATGTATACTGTGTACATGCACACATGTATACTATGTATATGCACACATATATAGTGTACATGCACACATGTATACTGTGTACATGCACACATGTATACTGTGTACATGCACGTATGTACAGTGTACATACACATATGTATACTGTGTACATGCACGTATGTATACTATGTGTACATGCACATATGTATACTGTGTATACATGCACGTAATTATACATGTAAATATGCATACGTGTGAATGTATAATCCAGGGATGGGTAATTTGACTGGCGGGATTATCATACAAGGTCAATATATGATTATCAAGCCTTGTTTTTTGATAATCCAATGGATTATTATACGAGGTCAATAGACGATTAGCAAGCCTCGTTTTTTGGGGAGCCTTTCTCCAACATAATAATGATTAAAGGACGTTTTTTCCTTATTAATACATGGAATGGCAAGCCAAAGAAACAATTTGGTGGCCCATATTTGGCTCATGGGCCATATCTTGGTAAAAAACAAATAGCAAGACGAGAGATTGGTGCCAAACCTGCACACGAAAATCACTCCCTATGAAAGCAAAAGACTCAGCAAGAGATGCAACATTCCCCCGATGAAGAGCAGAGGCACCACGAGTACATTGAGAGACAACACAATAAGTGTCCAGGGCCCAAGACTGTTCAGCTGCCTCCCAGCATACATAAGGGGGATTACCAATAGACCCCTGGCTGTCTTCAAGAAGGCACTGGACAGCACCTAAGCAGTCTACCTGACCAACCGGGCTGTGGTCATACATCAGTCTGCATGCGGCCGCGGTAACACCTGTTGATCAGACCCTGATCCACCATAAGGCCTGCTCTCAGGCCGAGCCGCGGGGGCGTTGACCCCTGAAACCCTCTCCAGGCTAACTCCAGGATCAATCGTCAATATTTGGTGGCGTTCCCTAGAGTTTACCTAAATATGTCGGTGTTCGGCATACTGTACGTACTATGTATATGAAGCCATTGTCACGGAATTCTATAAAATTGTCTCATAAATATCCGTTGTGCAAAAAAAAAAAAAAAAAAAAAAAAAAAAAAAAAAAATTGCAACTTGTATAATTACTACCAATTCAGAGTCATGTACTTATATTCTGTTATATCTATGTGACTCTGATGGGTTAGTCTTATACCTCTTAAAGAATATCTTATCATTTCATGTACACTTTTTAAATTACACCAAAGTGGTTGGGCCACTTACCTTTTATATCCTACCTCTCTCCCCCCTCCCACCCTTTTCCAAAATTTCTATCCTTACCCATCCTTCTTCCTTACCCATCTCACCAAAGGTTTGGTCTGGATACCGAATACCGAACTATGTATATAGGGTCCAATTGTGGTGCAAATTGTGGGGACCAATAACCTTGAAGAAATACGTAAAAAAAAAAAAAAGTTTCAAGAAAAAAATTAAATTTCTCCCCAAGGCCATTTGAATATTCCATTTTTATTCACCCCATTTTTTATGAATGCACACATATATTTTATGGAATACCGTACACAAAATTCAAAGGATACACTGATAGTACAAAGATGTTGAAATATACAATACACAAGGTTTGAGGGATACAGTTTAAGTACACAATGGGTGTGTCAAAATTTGCATTTCAATTATCTCATCCAGCTCAGAGTTGGGGTGCATATCCAGGATATGACAGACATTACTCCTCTGAACTGCAGTACTGAACTGCTGAACAGAAAATCAGCTGCTCTGGGATCCTTAGTTGCTCTGATGAGCCTTTTGCCTAGTTCCTTATGAGACTTGGTGTCCCATGGCCTGCTAAGCAATACTCTTGCCTCACACACTGAGTGTCCATGGTTTGATCCCCTGCTGAGTGGAAACATTGGGAGTGTTTCTTTACACCTGGTGTCCCCATTCAACTAGCAAGTAGGTATCTGGATGTTAATCAACTGCTGTAGGTTGCATCCTGGGGGACAAGACTGAAGGACCCCAGTGGAAATAAGACAGACAGTCCTCAATGACGCTGACTTTCTTGGGTTATCCTGGGTGTCTAACCCTCTGGGGTTAAAATCAAATCTTATCTTATCTCACTTTTCCCCCCATGAGCTGAGGGTCTCTGAACCGATGGGTACAAACATATAATAATCGGCACATTCACCATATTTTCTAGGCTTCTGGGATTCCCTGAAGCTGGCAGCTGCACATTCATCCATGCTGTATTGGAGACAGATATCTGTGTATAATTTTGTTTTAGAGGGGGGAGGTGTTTGTTCCCCAGTTTGTATCATATATCATGAGAGAACAGTACACTGATCTTAATGAACCTTACACATATTATTCTAGACCATAGCACTGTAACGAATCAGTATCTTTCATTCGGCTTAATATTAAATATTTATTGTTGATTTTAGATAAAACAAAATTGTGTACTACCTCCTAAATGGCTAAAGGAAGGAAAAATTTGCATAGAGCAGGTTTGAAACATTTTAAAGGTTTGTTTAATTTTTCAGCTTGAGAGCTCAGTTGGTTAGTGGGTGAAAAAAGTACTAATGATATTCCACATTTTTTATTAATAAAATTAGCAAATATTGAGGCTACAAAGTCTACTAAAGGTCTTCTACTAAGTGAAACATGCTAACATTGAATGTTGAAGCTGACCAGATGAGGCATTCTCTGGTTAACTCACAGAATCCAAAAATTCCGATGTATTTTTATGATGTTGGTGTATTAGTAAATTTGCAGCTACATAACCTGAACTTTTTTTGCCCATTATAATATTGCATTATTAAAGCCACTATTATTTTGAGATCTTTTTGGATCTTTACTTCAGCTCTGTGGCATTTACCCTGTGACTTTAGAACTATATTTTTCTTGGCAATATGTACAGTATTATCTTGAATTTAATAACAGAAATGTATTTGCTACTGTGCATGTGCTATGTGTACAAGATGAGTGTGATTCATATTAATTCTTATATAACTCAGAGGCTAGGTAGTAGATTGGTTAACAGCAACCACCCAGGGAGGTACTACCGTCCTGCCAAGTGAGTGTAAAACGAAAGCCTGTAATTGTTTTACATGATGGTAGGATTGCTGGTGTCTTTTGTCTGTCTCATACACATGCAAGATTTCTGGTACGTCTTGCTACTTCTACTTCCACTTAGGTCACACTACACATACATGTACAAGCATATATATACACACCCCTCTAAGTGTTCTTCTATATTCTTTCTAGTTCTTGCTCTTGTTTATTTCCTCTTATCTCCATGGGGAAGTGGAACAGAATTCTTCCTCCGTAAGCCATGCGTGTTGTAAGAGGTGACTAAAATGCCGGGAGCAAGGGGCTAGTAACCCCTTCTCTTGTATAAATTACTAAATTTAAAAAGAGAAACTTTTGTTTTTCCTTTTGGGCCACCCTGCCTCGGTGGGATACGGCCGGTTTGTTGAAAGAAGAATAACTCAAGAGGCTTGTGAATAAGCCTCTGAACTTTAATTTGGCTATCTTAAATCATGCAGTGTACCTAAAAGAACAAAAGGCACTTCTTTTCTTCTTTCGTTCAATGCACCAGCCGTATCCCACTGAGGTGGGGTGGCCCAAAAGGAAAAATGAAAGTTTCTCCTTTTAAATTTAGTAATATATACAGGAGGGGTTACTAGCCCCTTGCTCCTGGCATTTTAGTCGCCTCTTACGACACGCATGGCTTACAGAGGAAGAATTCTGTTCCACTTCCCCATAGAGATAAGAGGAAATAAACAAGAACAAGAACTAGAAAGAAAATAGAAGAAAACCCAGAGGGGTATGTATACATATGCTTGTACATGTATGTGTAGTGTGACCTAAGTGTAAGTAGAAGTAGCAAGATGTACCTGAAAACTTGCATGTTTATGAGACAGAAAAAGGGACACCAGCAATCCTACCATCATGTACAACAATTACAGGCTTTCGTTTGACACTCACTTGGCAGGACAGTAGTACCTCCCTGGGCGGTTGCTGTATACCAACCTACTACCTAGAAAAAGGCACTTATGAAATTAAAAGATTTCAGACAAAGACTAAGATCATGAGTTATGCATGACCTTTGAACTCCTAAATCCATTATACTTTCAGCCACAGTACAATCTTTTTATACTTATGGAAAGTGCTAAATCTGGTAAGGCTATTCACTGGTACACATTAGTACTGAGAGAGATGGTAGATGGGTGAGGTGGAAGGGATAAGGAAAGACCATTGGCAGAAAAGAAGGAAAAGGTCAAAGTTGATGTAGCAAATAGTTAAAAAATAAAATGCAAGTCTGGCAGGACTGTTGGAGAGGTCAGATAAAACAAACATACCCTGGTGCTGAGATGATCAGTGTGTTAATTTTTTTTTTTTGTATAATTTGTTGCATTTACTTTGAGGAAGTTAATCTATGTCAGCAACCCTCTTATCTAGATATTAACAATCACGTCCATTTAGAATCTTGCAATCTGTTTCCTTTAGTTATGTCTGCTATTTCACACTAGCCACAAAGTATTGAAAGTTAATTTCTTTTTGGCAAGAAAAGTCAGGTAGTAAAGATTAATGTACATACAACGTAATGTCTCATTTATTTAAAACATGCAGTACTGTAAAGGTTAACTATAATGCTACAATTTAACTGTGCCACTTCATAACTGCCCAAAAATGCCTGTCTTCATTAAGACATATTTAAATTAATTTTTTTTTCTGACAAACCGGCTATATCCCACCAAGGCAGGGTGACCTAAAAAAGAAAAATGAAAGTTTCTCTTTTTAAAATTAGTAATGTATACAAGAGAAGGGGTTACTAGCCTCTTGCTCCTGGCATTTTAGTTGCCTCGTATGACATGCATAGCTGATAGAGGAAGAATTCTGTTCCACTTCCCTATGGAGAATTTAAATTAATTATGAACTGTTAATACACTTACATCCATTTTATTCTGCTTACCTTTGTGGAAATGCACGTTTTAGAAGCTTTATTAAATTTTGAATTTTGATCTTTTTCAGGCTAATATAATTCCTTTTTACCATCAGCTGGTCATTTCTGGAAGCTCATGATAAACTTGGAACTCCAATTGCAATTATTTTTTTTGTTGCTGTGTGATATCTACGGACAACTCCTCTTAGTTGATAACAATTTCCTTTATTGAAATACAGTACCATACCTTTACGATATAATAATCATGCATCCTATCTTTTTTTCTTCTCATACAACACTTTCCCTCTTTCAGCTTACACATAAATGTGTACCTCTTTCCAGTTTACATGATTACAGCACAATGAAAATATTTTCTACATAAACATGTCAGTACTGGTATGTACATGATGCTTATTTGTAAATATAAACATCTGCACATTCCACACAAGCAAACCTACTTCCACCATATGGCATGACTACAATACGATATTAGTAAGCAAAATGTATTGTAATGTTTTTATATTAACTAGCTACTGCATTCCCTTTGGCACTAGTTTATCTTGCAAAATACAAAGACTGATAAGCACAGCCTCTTCTGTTCGTATGGTACGTGACTGCTGAAGTGGACATGTATTGTTGTAGTAATCAAACAGGTGGAGAGGTTCTGATGCTTCAAGTTTATCATCTGAAACTATTGCTGCCTCTAGTCCTTCTACTCCTGAAACAAAATATAAATGCATTCTTTAAGTAATAAAACAGCTGTGACTGGATGCCATTTTTCTCTTCAATTATGAAACTCAAACTAGTAACTCTAACCTTATCTTTACTTAATGATTTGCTTAGTATAGTACTTTTAAATAATTTTTCTTATTAACACATCGGCCGTCTCCCACCAAGGCAGGGTGGCCTGAAAAAGAAAAACTTTCATCATCATTCACTCCATCACTGTCTTGCCAGAGGTGCGCTTACACTACAGTTATAAAACTGAAACATTAACACCCCTGCTTCAGAGTGCAAGCACTGTATTTCCCATCTCCAGGACTGAAGTCCGGCCAGCCGGTTTACCTGAATCCCTTCATAAATGTTACCATGCTCACACTCCAACAGCACATCAAGTCCTAAAAACCCTTTGTCTCCATTCGCTCCTGCCTAACATGCTCAGGCATGCTTGCTGGAAGGCCAAGTCCCTCGCACACAAAACCACCTTTACCCCCTCCCTCCAACCTTTCCTTCCACTACAGATTTATACACTCTCGAAGTCATTCTATTTTGTTCCATCCTCTCTTCATGTCCAAACCACCTCAACAACCCCTCCTCAGCCTTCTGGATATTAGTTTTGGTAATCTTGTACTTCTTCCTAATTTCCAAACTATGAATTTTCTGCATTATATTCACACCATACATTGCTCTCAGACATGACATCTACACTGCCTCCAGCCTTGTCCTTGTTGCAACATTCATTACTCTCATACATTCCCCTCTTTACTTCCATGGACAAAGTTCTTTGTCTCCACAGACTCCTAAGTGTACCACTCACCTTTATTCCCTCATCAATTCTATGATTCACCTCATCTTTCATACACCCATCTGCTGACACGTCCACGCCAAAATATCTCAATACATTCACCTCCTCCATACTCTCTCCCTCCAATTTGATATCCAATCTTTCGTTACCTAATTTTTTTATCCTTATCACCTTACTCTTTCCTATATTCACTTTCAATTTTCTTCCTTTACATACCCTACCAAACTCATCTACCAACCTCTGCAACTTCTCTTCAGAATCTCTCAAAAGCACTATGTCATCAGCAAAGAGTAACTGTTAGAACTCCCACTTTGTTTTAGATTCTTTATCTTTTAACCCCACACCTCTTGCCAACACCCAAGCATTCGCTTCTCTTACAACCCCAATTATTTATATATACAGGAAGGCCCCGGTTTACGGCGTTTCACTTTACGGCGTTCCGCTAATACGGACATTTCAAATTATGACCAAAACTCACTATACGGCTCCCCCCACCTGACTTTCTAATACGGTCACCGTGCCCCACCCTGTTTGTTTACATTCTCCATGAGCTCAGTAAGCACTAAGTCTCTCCATTTTGTCTGGAAACTCCAAAATTTCAAATGTTTTTAAAAGTTATTTCATATTTTTATATACTCTGATAATTATACTTATGTTATACCTGTACCTAAATAAACTTACATACATCGAGTCATTTAAATGTCGTATATTACGTTAATATACACATTTTCATTAATCCATCCATGATATTTTTTTCAAAATTATATAATAAACACGATGCATAACATATAAATAAGATAAATACACCCCACAGTAGAATAAATAAACATAAATGTGAGATGTGAGCAGACGACTTCCACAAGTGAAGCCATAATAACAATACTCACCGAGTCTCATTAAATGTCGTATATTACGGTAATATACACATTTTCATTAATCCAGCCATGATATTTTTTTCAAAATTATATAATAAACACGATGCATAACATATAAATAAGATAAATACACCCCACAGTAGAATAAATAAACATAAATGTGAGATGTGAGCAGACGACTTCCACAAGTGACGTCATAATAACAATAGTCACGGAGTCTCATTAAATGTCGTATATTACGGTAATATACACATTTTCATTAATCCAGCCATGATATTTTTTTCAAAATTATATAATAAACACGATGCAAACATATAAATAAGATAAATACACCCCACAGTAGAATAAATAAACATAAATGTAGATGTGAGCAGACCGGGCTTCCACAAGTGACGCCATAATAACAATAGTCACGGAGTCTCATTAAATGTCGTATATTACGGGAATAACACATTTCATTAATCCATCCATGATATTTTTTTCAAAATTATATAATAAACACGATGCATAACATAAAAAATAAAACACCCCACAGAATAAAAAAACATAAAAATTTTGGGGA